GGGACGGGGACGGGGGGAGGGGGGGCAGGAGGTCTGGGTGCTCGCTGCTTGGTGGACCTGGTATGGGCTGGAGGGGGGGGGTCTACGGCCTCAGGCTCCTTGGAGGGGACAGACGTCTCCTGTGGAAAGAAAAGATCACATTTAGTTGCCGTTTTTCATCAATTTACCCTTAAAATGAAACATTTTGTACGTTACACAGATAAAAAGGACAAATGTTGACGGTTTAAAGTTCTCAGTTGTACAAACTAACAGCGTAAGAAAGTGAAGAAGCTAGAAGAGCGAAGGAGAACGATCAGAAACAGCCTAGTCATCATGGTTGCTCTCTTTTTTTTAATGCATATTTGCTGCTTTCACCATCTGCTGCGGGCTGGATGCTATTCCAGGACGCACAGCTTGATAAGACAAGAGCTGGGGCGGGAACTTACTTTCAGTCTGTTGTTTGTCAGAAACTATACGGGCCTGAAATGCTTGTGCCGACACGTACGAGCAACCGAACTGAAGACGGCAGCAGATAAAGAGAGGAGCGCACTCGCCTGTCGCAGGTAGGAAGGGAGGGGTTTCTCTCCTTTCTCGAGGGATTTGATCTGGCTGGGCGTTAGGGACTGGAAGTCGGCCTGCTCCCCCTCCAGCCTGGACCTCTCGGCGCTGATCTTCCAGAAAGACGACTCCTCCTCCGGCCTCCGTCCCTCGCTGACAGACACCTTCACAATCACACAATAACACGATTAATTATCTGTCCCGAGATTAGCGGCTGTATTCGTAACTGGAAACCTTTTAAAGCCCTTAAAATGTGATGGCGCCGGAGATACGCATCTGTTTAAGGATCTAGCAGACTGTTGTTATGGATTTACGCCAAAACATAAAGCCCAGGCCTCGTACTTTGGTTCCCGGTGTGCTCTTGCCGAGCGGGTTGGGGTGAGGAGCCTTCGCAGCCTTCGGTTCGGCCTGCGAGGTCGAGATCTGCTGCTCTGCTGAGCCTGGCGTCAAACTGAAGTCCAGCTGGCTCTGAAAAGACCGGAGCAAAGTTTACAACCCCTCAACTCTACAAGGGAATTTCAGACAGAAGATAAGCAGATATTAAGATAAGGAAGATGAAACCCGATCTGCTCATTTGTGGTTAAAACATTCACGTAAAAACGTCTGTAGGTGACGAAGCAACAAACAGTATCTGGATCTTAAATGAGACGATCTGAATCTTCACACACTCGTATCCTGATTTAACCGTCTCGCAGTACATCTTATAATATGTTTACCTTAGTTTCCCACGAGAAGGGGGCCGAATGCTCATCCTGCCACGTAATATCCTAAACAGAGACACACAGTTAGTTTCATCAAACACGTCAAAGCTTTCCTGAATAATACAGCAACTTATATATTTAATACAGTTGACTTTGTTTATGTTTGTTTACAGCGCGTACTCCAAATATTACCGTCGTGTCTACAAATAGTCGCCTACTATATTTAACACACTGTATTGTTTCAGCGTTATAGTATATTTTCCTTGTTATTTTATTAAAACTTTGGACATTTACATATAAAAAAAAAAGGTAAAATCAGAAACAATATAGTGGGAAATAAAAGCACAAATATCTTTCCAAAAGCAACAAAAATGGGGACAAGATCAAAATAAATGACTTAAATCTTGTGGAACCAGTTGGCAAAATGAGAAATGTGTTTTTTTTAGCTATCTTTGTAAATATAACTTTTATAGGGATAAAAGTGATGAATTGTTTTAAAAGTCAGTTCCTTGACCTCATGTAAAATAAAATATTTAGAAGGTGGACACCATATTTTCTTACAGTCCAGGTCTGGATAGAGTTTAGGGATAAAACTAAACATTTGTATTGATATATAAAGAAATCCATGACTAGTTGGTCACAATTTTTTTTAGAAATGTTGCCCTCAGAACAATCTTAATTTTCTGAGCTTTTTGCTCGTTTACTTACTTTTACACGTGCTAACCTTAGTATCCGACAATGTAACATTAAAGGACAGAAACTCGAGAAAACACTTCTAATAAAAGCTCCCAATTAGAGGCCCGGTCAGGATTTTATTGAACTTATCTGGGTGTGTAAAAACCTGTTTAAACCTTTGTTATATATGGACATGGTACACATCATTTGATCGGTTAGATTCTCCACATTTCAGTCGCTTGGTTCATTTTACGTAAACTATGAGCACCCAAGTATAATTCATTCTTTCACTGCTCACTGTCCTGTACGCTAGGTGCCGCAAATTGGTGTTTGCGTTCAAGTGTTGTGGCGGTGGCACGAAGAAAAACCCATCCGTGCTGAGCAACAGTTTTGTCTCCAATAGAGGCAACATGAGTTCAGTGGTTTAAGAAATGAAATGCCGGGGCTATTATTAGAGGTTTAATTGTAGGTCCCAGAACCTTTTGGCGGACAGCACGCCAACGTCAATAAAATGTCCACACTTTGGTTTCTTATTAGTCTACATTTTAACCAGAATCTTGTAAATATATATCGCTAACTTTCTTGTCTTTTTTGTGCTATTCTTCCTAGTGATTTTAATTTAATTTTTTGTAGTGGGTCTAAATATCAACAGTGATACTCAATCTGTGCCTCAGACAGTTAACACAGAGACACTGAGGAGCTACACTTCAGGATTCCAAACGCGGGATAGAGGAGCTCGGTGAATGTGGTGTTGAATGTGTGGAGATGGATCGGTGTGTCAAAGGAGACGTCATGGAAGGACAGAGTGCCGGCAGGTTGGTCTACGTACACCGCTACTTTGTTAGAGGCAGAGGAGGACGGGAAAGGGATGTTTGTTGCTTTGTTATTGTGCCAGACGGAGTAACGTTTATCGGAGCAGAACAGACACCAGGACTGATCGTTCGCTCCAAACTTGCTGTTGAATCCTTCTCCTTTTCTTGTGATTCCTCTGTAAGTCACGGCTATATGAACGCGTCCTTTCCAGGCAACTTCCCAGTAACAGCGACCGGTCAGACTGTTCTTGCACAGCAGCTGCTTCCAATAGTCAAATCTCTCGGTGTTATCAAGATATGCTTGTTCCTTTCTCAGCCATGTGACCTTCCTGTTGTTGTCAGACAGTTTGAGGAATCTGCTTGCTGTGTTTGGGTTCAGTGAGAGTTCACAGGCATCTGATGGATACAACAAGAACACGTCACAATAGGTCTGAACCCGCAAATTGATGCTTGCGGTAGCATTTGTTTTACTTGTTGATACGCTTTTATTCAGCGTCACATGTATATCACAACTAGCAGAAGAAATATTACAACTAATCTCTTTTAAAAAAAACTGCTGCCATAAATCAAACTGAATCCACACTTACACTTCTTCAAGCCAGGTTTCAGTCTCTGCGCTCCATCGTAGTCCATACTGGAAGAAGAAACACAGACATATATTGTATTGTATTATTCTATATTAACAGAAACATTTAATAACCTTCAGTAAAGTCGAGCTCAATGTTCTCATTGTGGGAACTGTTGGGTCTCTGTAAACCTTTTAGTTTTTTAGTACGGTCGAGACCTGCTCCATTTGAAAAGTGCGCTGCAATAACTTTTGTTATGAAATAAAACTGAACTGAATTGAAGACCTACTTGTCAATAAAACCAGATCTGTTTCTGACTCTGATTAAGTGTATTCTGAACTTTACAACTTTACTGAACTTTAACATTAATTTGTGATTTGCAGAAACTACACAGAAATTTAAAGAAATAAACTGAAAATGTACCATGCCTATTCAACAGTGTACACAAAAAAACAATGACTGTATGGGAGAAAGGCACATATTCTGGTTATTGGAAGGGAGTGCTAACTGTCAATTGTCCATACCTAAGAGTGTCCAGTCTCACGTTTGAATCCTCCAGTCCAGCAGACAGCATCTTGTTTCCAGAGTGTCCTAGATGATTGTAGTTCAGGTCCAGCTCTCTCAGATGGGAAGAGTACCTCAAAGCTGAGGCCAGAGCAGCACAACCTTTCTCTGTGACCTGGCAGCCTGACAGCCTGAAGACAGTCAATAACACAAACAGAATATCATCATTTTGTTGCTCTGTGCTCCAATAACAGTTGAGCAAGCCACAGTCAGAACCTTGCTCAACTTCCAAGTCCCTCCCTGGAAATACATACATTTGAGGAAGCAAATAGCTTCTGTTATAATAGTGTTATAATCCTGACCTGAGAGTTTCCAATCTACAGTGTGGACTCTTCAGTCCAACAGACAGCAGCTTCACTCCTGAATCCTGCAGGTTGTTGTCACTCAGGTCCAGCTCTCTCAGACTAGAGGACTGGGAGCTGAGAACTGAGGACAGAGCTTCACAGCTTCTCTCTGAGAGGTTAACAGACACTCCCAGCCTGGAGAACAATATGAAAAAGAGACAATGTTCATTATTCTGGTTTAGGAATATAAAGCGTGAGAGCGGAATCACAGCTGAATCAAATCCCAAATGCATGTTTGTTTTTATATAAAATAAAGAAAGTCCAACAGAGATAAGTTAAGTTAATAATTTAAAATCATTTGTTACAAGAGTAATGTAGCTTTCTTTTCTTTTTATTCTCCTTCTTCTACTTTTTCTACCTCTGAGGCTGAACAGCTTGAAGTCACTTTCAAGCTGTCGTCCACATAATCCCTCTAGCAGTTTTTTTGTGGGCGAAAAGCAGGAACAGCTGGTGATGATAGTTTGTCAAAAAGAATGAAACGTAATCTGTATTGTAGACGTAATGTCAATTACAATATACACACAGGGATGAAGAGCGCGTGACATTCCTGCTTTGCACTGGCGTGTGTTTGACTTGAATTGATACTCGCACAGCCATCATTGCTTGGTCCCTTCTTGCGACCTTGGTGAGAACGGTCTGGGCAAAGAATTTGTCAAGTCAGGATCTTGAATAGCTGGCTGTTATT